ACCAATGGCAAAGAGGCAGATCATAATATCAAGAATAGTGAAGCTGTAACTGAAATAAAATGTGAAGGCACACTTGAGCCAAAACCCCTAGAAATTCTTCAAATCTGTGAAAATATGCGAACTTCAGATGGACATGAAAAGGAAGAGTTGTCGACTGCAGTTTTTCTAACTGATGCTTCCTTTACTGGGAATGCCACAAATGCTGATGTTTCACCCTTAGGAAATAATTGTATTGAAACAGATGATGCAGTCACCAATATTGAGGCTAAAAATAAAGATGCAGCTGATTTATGGCCCAATGTCAATTCTTATGATCAACTACTTTCAGGTAGTTCACCAGTTTTGCAAAAGGTTGATAGAGAGATTCCCAATTCAGGCTCTGAAATTCCTAATGTCCAACCACTTAAACTTAAATTTCTGTCTTCTGCAGAATTTGGCAACTCCTTTAGTTCATTGTTTTCACAGCAACTATCTCCTAAAATTGATTCATTCGGGAACACTGGGTTATTATCCAGTTTCAAGAAGTTTTCTAAGGCCTTTTTTGAAGGGGATGCTGATCAAATGGTGAAATGTGAGGCAAATGCGCAAAATCCTACATTAGGAAAACTAGGCGACACCTTGAACCAAAAAGAGAATGCAGCCAATTATTTTAATTCTGTTATCACAAAGCAGCCTTTAAAAAGAGAAGAAATGCATATGCACAACACTTCAAGATCTGATTTGTCAGTTCATAAGGTAACTGAAAAAAGCCAGAGTAGCATGTTAACTGATGAGGGTAGAATGGCACAGTTGGAGCAAACATCAAAAGCTGTAGACAACATTATTGAAGGTGAAAGTCATACCAATAACAGCATAGAACAGTCATTTCTTACAGCAAAAAATACAGATTTTTTTCAGCATAGTCAAAATGTAGTACCTTCTGACGAATTACCAGAGCAACTTTTTATTAACTGGGAGAAGGCACCTGAGAATGAAACCGTTAACTCCCCTGCAGCCTGTTCATTGCCAGCAGTGGTGATTGGATCACAGGAGCAAACCTCACACAGTTTGGACCTTTTGACAATGAAAAGGCCAGTTTAAGTTTGAGCATGATAAATGGCACCAAAAGGTGAACCATTTATAATGCATTAGCTATGTAGTAGTAAAGTATATGTCTTCAATTAGACTTGTAGTTTTATTTTTTTAATCCAACCTTTTGTATTGAAACAATTAACTTTACACTCAGAGCTCCAACTCTATTAGACTAGGCCTTAAGTCATGTCCCATGATTTGCAGGCCATCACTTACAATGGGTTAAAAACTAAAAAAATAACTACAGATGCTGTAAATCGGAAACAAAAACAGTAATTGCTGGGAAAGCTCAGCAGGTTTGGCAGCATCTGTGGAGAGAAATCAGAGTTAATGATCTGGGTTGAGCGACCCATCTCTGATTCCTGTGATTTTTAAGAGAATGTCAATTTGTTTGATCTCATTCTGCTGTAATTATTTAACAACGTACTCTTTCCCTAAAAAGAAACAGACTGTGCATTTTTAAAATGATTGCTAAATGTATTTTGCTGTGTGCGGTAAATGTTTGTGGTGGGAACTGTGTTCTTAGAACGTGCAGGATAGGTAAGAGCTCAGCAAGATGCAATTTCTTGATTCTTTAAGCTATGCTGACAACCCATTGTAAGTAAAAGCTCAACAGGTCTGGCAGCATCTGTGGAGACAAATCAGAGTTAATGATCTGGGTTGAGTGACCCGTCTCTGATTCCTGTCCACAGATGCTGCCAGACCTGTTGAACTTTTACTTACAATGGGTTGTCAGATTTGAAGATTTGAGGGGAAGTCGGGAAAAACAATTCTTAACATCATTTCTGAGTTTTTCATTTGCCCCATATTTTCTCCCCTTTCTCGCCAATGATCACCCCACAGTCGGGTGAGGTATTTGTCATCACAACAATATTCTTGATTTTGTGTGATGCAAAACTTCTGAATGCGGGTAACGTTCTTGAAAATTACAACAGAAAAATAAATTCTTAACACCTCTATCTGTCTTTATAACCCTCAACAATCTATGGAGAACTTAAAAGCCACCTTACGAGGCTGTAGGACCTCTCAGAGGTGACATTGTCGGCACAGATTGCAGTAACAAAGGAAAGAAAATTGTTTAGATTGTTGAAGAGTGGCTAATTTATGGAAACTGACATTTAAAAACTCAGCCTCACGATTCCATACTTGCACAATTTTTATGTTTTTGCTTAATAGCATCCATTCATAATCACATCGCTCCGGTGGTTGGAGTCATACCTGACACATAGGAAGATGGTCATAGTTGTGGAAGGTCAATCATCTCAGCTCCAAGACATCGCTAGAGGAGTTCCTCAGGGTAGTGTCCTAGGCCCAACCATCTTCAGCTGCTTCATCAATGACCTTCCCTCCATCATAAGGTCAGAAGTAGAGATGTTCACCGATGATTGCACAATGTTCAGCACCATTCGTGACTCCTCAGATACTGAAGCAGCCCATGTTCACATGCAACAAGATCTGGACAATATCCATGCTTGGGCTGACAAGTGGCAAGTGACATTCGCGCCACACAAATGCCAGGCTATGACCATCACCAATAAGAGACAATCTAACCACCGCCCCTTGACATTCAATGGTGTTACCATCACTGAATCCCCCACCATCAACATCCTGGGGGTTACCATTGACCAGAAACTCAACTGGACTCACCACATTAACAGAGTGGCTACAAGAGCAGGCCAGAAGCTGGGAATACTGCAGTGAGTAACTCATCTCCTGACCCCTCAAAGGCTGTCCACCATCTACAAGGCACAAGTCAGGAGTGTGATGGAATACTCCCCACTTGCCTGGATGAGTGAAGCCCCAACAACACTCCAGAAGCTTGACACCATCCAGGACAAAACAGCCCGCTTGATTGACACTACACCCACAAGCATTCACTCCCTCCATCACCGACGCTCAGTAGCAGCAGTGTATACTATCTACAAGATGCACTGCAGAAATTCACCAAAGATCCTCAGACAGCACCTTCCAAACCCACGAGCACTTCCATCTAGAAGGACAAGGGCAGCAGATATATGTGAACACCATCACCTCCAAGTTCCTTTCCAAGTCACTCACCATCCTGACTTGGAAATATATCGCCGTTCCTTCACCATCGCAGGGTCAATATTCTGGAATTCCCTCCCTAATAGCATTGTGGGTCAACCCACAGAAGGAGGACCGCAGCGGTTCAAGAAAGCAGCTCACCACCCCCTTCTCAAGGGCAACTAGGGATGGGCAAGAAATGCTGGCCAGCCAGCGACGCCCACATCCCACGAAATGAATAAAAAAAAATTGACAGAAGAAAGTGTTAACTGTGTTAATAAATTGTTGTGATCTTGTGCTTTGTGTACCATTCAATCAGCATCAAATATCTCATCTTTTTGTCACATTGAATGCCTCCTGTCCTCAAAAGAATTCAGTGAAGATGGTTTATTACCCTTTTATCTGTTTGAGAAGTTATAAACTAAAACATTCACTATTATTACATACAGCTGTGTCAATTAGTGACAGTGGCCTAACAGTTGTTGCATTGGTATGCATGCTTAACACGACCAAATTATCATTTTCATGTTTCATCTTTGGTGACTCTTTTGCTTTCTAAATCTTCTGATTCATATGATGTTGTATTTTGTAGATGTGAAGGATTTTTAGGCAAAATCTCATCCTGTGTGTTGGTAAGAATTTGCAAACCAAAGAGCAATTATTTTTATTTGATGTACAATTGGGCCATGTGTTCAGTTGCATAAATGGCATAAAAATTTCTTTTTCCCCACACGACCAATTAGGTGTCTTAAAAGTATGTGTTAGGACAAGTGTGTTTTGCTTAAAAGATCTGGTCTCTTGTGAATATACCTGAAAACATAACATCAATTTGGGAATTACCATGATCAGAATTTTATTCCAAAAAAGTGTTTCATAAGTTACTTTTGGGTAATCATATGTGAACTTATTTGAACTGAATCAGGCAGAATTTATGAATTAAGATTACTTGTTTGAGAATAATTAACACAAATAAATAATCCATGGTGTATTTTGAATTTACTTGCATCTGTGGTTCAGCCTTATGGCTTAAAACTGCATAACTGAATATTCCCCTGTATACTTAATAGGCTTGATTGCATTACGATTTTGAAATATTTTGACTTCCAAAGTAGGGAATAGTGATGGGTCCATCCATGTTTATAACCTTTTTGAATGTTGGAGCTCTGAGTGTTATCACTTGTAAAGTGCTTATTACTCATACAATGTTATTGTGGTATAAAGTAAGTACTTGACCTATTTATTCTCCATTATAGATCTTTGTTCTAATTACCATTTAACACAACTTTTTTGCTGTGAAAATGTAAATATGTATCTTGTATAGTTTAATTGTTTTGTGGAAGTTCTCAGCTTTAGTTTGCTTCATGTGAAGGTGATTATGTGGCAGTTTTGTCTATAGTCTGCTCAGTGTAGTAGCACCTGCTGCTTCTGGTACTATGTGTTGTTACTGCTTCTGGGCATATGCCATTATAAGTACTTACTGAAGTGTCCTGCTAAAGAAACTGAAAGCTAAGAACCAATGCATTAAGTATCATGTATATGCATAACAGTCAGCAGTGTTATACTGATGAACTCCCAATATAATTTAAACAACATAAACCTTCAGTTAATTCATTGCAATGTGATCAAAAGCTTTGAATTAGAACGAATGTGAACAAAAGTTTTTTTTTTAAGGGAGTGAGTGCTAGAAATAAATTCAACATTCTTCTTTCCTACTGTGGAATTAGTAATCCTACCTCATGAATGTGTGAATTTAAAAGAATAGCATTAAGTATACAAATTGTCCCTGATTTCATTAGCAGTTTACTTTAAGTTCTACACTTGCCATATCTGTTATGCAATATGCATACAAGCTTTGCTGCAGTTGCTCTGAATTAGTTGCTGAAGTTTCTGTTCATGTTCTACAGCCCTGCAGGAAGCAGTAGATATGGCTCATCAGGAAACCTCAGCCAAGGCAGTTCTCAGCTTAGTGAATTTGATCATGACAATGAGAGCATCCATGGGTCTGGAATGGATGACCAGCGAGATCAAGAGTCATATTATTCTCATCACAGCTCAGGAAGCCTAAGACAAGATACCCAGGAATGGTACAGTGAAGATGATGGACAACAGAAACATTTCAGTGAATACAAGCAAGTTGAGCACCATCAAGATTCTGAACAAGTTGATGAAACTGTACGTGAAACTCCCGTCAGCAGTATTTCCCCACAGCTCGAGATTACAAAACTGCACGACAGGTGAATACTGCAATTATGTTATGTGCAATCCTTCTGCAAGTAGCTTTATTTAATTTCAAACAAAAAGAGAAAATGTTGGAGAAACTCAGCAGGCCTTTGCAGGAGCTGTGAAGAGAGCAACGGAGTTAAGATTGAATCCGATATAACTCTTCTTCAGTTCTGAAAAAGCATCATATTGGATTCAATGTTAAGAATTTCTTTCTCCACAGTTGCTTCCAGAACTGCTTTCCAGCACCAATATTTTGTTTTTAATTGTTTAATTCAGTTGGATAATGATCTTTTAAAAACCTTAGAGACGAAAATCAGTATCATGTATAGTGCTCAGTCAATTTGAAGCAGATGTTCTAACTACATACAGCACTGAAGATTTCAGGTCTGTGGTAAAGACCAGCATTGCATTTTATAATGTTGAAAGTATTTATTTTCAACCCTGTAATAAGTTCAAGTCTAGAATTTACTGTTTGCATTATTAACCCACCAACAATTACTTTTTTCAAGTAACAAATGCTATTTTAATATAGGCATTAACCTGTAAGTATGAATCTTTTATATGGGTGAGCATTTTGGGAACAGTGACCATAATTCCATAAGTTTTAAATTACTTATGGATAATGGAAAGAGTCGTCCTTGAGTGAAAGTACTAAATTGGGGGAAGGCTAACAACCACAATAGGCAGGGACTGGGGAATGTAGTTTGGGAATGACTATTTGAGGGTAAATCCACATGTTGGAATTTTTTAAAGGCCAGTTGATTGGATTTCAGGACCAGCATGTTTCTATGAAAAGGAAGGATAAGATTCTAGAACCTTGGATAACAAGAGAAATTGAGAGTTTAGTCAAAACAAAAGGTATAAATAAGGTTTAGGAACCTAAAGACAGACCAAGCTCTCAAAGACTATAAAGGGGGAAAGAAATTAAACAAGAAGTTAGGGCTAAAAGGGGTCATGAAATGTCTACGGAAAACAGGATTAAGGAAAATCTCAAGGCATTTTATACATATATAAGGTGCAAGAAAAAAAAATAAAGGGTAGGTCCACTCAAGGACCAAGGAGGGACTTTATGCATGGAGCCAAAGGAAATGGGTCAGGTTCTTAATGAATATTTTGAGTCAGTATTCACAAAGGAGAAGGACATGGTGGATGGTGAGTCTAGAGTGGGGTATGTTGATATTCTAGAGCATGTTGATATAAAAAAAGGAGGTGGTGCTGGGTGTTTTGAAATGCATTAAGGTAGACAAGTGGTAGGACCTGATGGGATCTATCACAGAATACTGGTGGAGGCGAGGGAAGAAATTGCTGGGACCCTGTACAAAATCTTTGTATCTTCTTCAGTCCCAGAAGTTCATCATGGCAGGTTGATACAGAAGGTAAAATCACACGGGATCTGCGGTGAGCTGGTAAGATGAATGCTGAACTGGTTAGGTCATAGGAGACAGAAAGTAACCGTGGAAGGGTATTTTTCTGACTGGAGATCTGTAACCAGTGGTGTTCTGCAGGGATTAGAGCTGGAACTCTTGTTGTTCGTAATGTATGTAAATGATATGGGGAAGAATATAGGTAGTCTGATAAGTAAATTAGCGAATGACATAAAGATTGGGGAAGCTGCAGATAGTGAGCAGGATTGCCAGAGGATAAAGCAGGATATAGATAGACTAGAGAGTTGTAGACAATAACAACCAATATGAGAAAACAGCCGTCAGTGTCAGTGTAAGAAATCCATCTCCAAGGATCTAGATGCATTTCCAAAGGATCCTGCGCAAACTGACCCACTCTCTTGCACATAACTCTTGAATCGACAGAAGCCCCTAACTGATGATGGCACAGGCATAACCACAAATCGTAATACCCATGAAGGAGATGATGTTGGCATTCACAGGTGTGGTCATGGCAGGGGTGAGGCTGAACCATAGAATGTGATGGTATGGTTTTACGTCAACAACCCATTCACGTCCCACAACCCTTTCATCCCAGAATCTCTTCTGGTTTACAAGCTGTAGAGAGTGTGAGCATGCACCTCTTTCTTTCTTTACACTTGTACCTCTCTTCTTTCGAGATCCAAGAACTGCCACCTGGTGACTTACTCTTGCAGGAGCATAAAGTGCAACAGCAGGAACAACACACTATCGAGGGAGCAACATATTTGTTCAGTCTCAAACGTGCAACTACTAGCATACAAACTTTAAAGGATAGGATAGAAGTGAGATCTGCACATATTGATTCACCAGGTGCAAATGTCCTATAGTTAGGACAGGTGCCAGTTTCCCAGCAGTAGTGGTCAGGCATGATTTCTTTTGCAGGGAACACAGCTGAGGCCTTCAAAAGAAATGAAAGCAGAAGTCTGAAGACATGCACAAAATGCTCTTGGTGGGTGGGAAAACTGGCCTGAACATCATCTATCATTATCAAGGAGTATGGAAGAGTCCAACGCTATTTGGCAAAAGCAACAAAAACAGAAATTGCTGGAAAAGCTCAGCAGATCTGGCACCATCTGTGGAAAGAAATCAGAGTTAATGTTTTGGGTCAAGTGACCCTTCCTCAGAAGGCATAAGGCCTTGTGCAGCTCTCAAGCCACATTCTTTTAAATGCATTAGTAATGGTAAACTTGCAGACCCAACCATGGTGAAGCATCTGATGATTATTGTCTGTTTTCTTAGCAGCACAAGCAAGAGCCACCTTCCACCTAGCTGTGGAAGTTCAACCTAAGATCATGAAGTCTTGTTTTTATTAAATTCATTAGAGGGCATTAGATATCAATGGCTGGGCCAGCAAATATTGCCCATCCCTTGTTACTCTTGAGAAGGTGATGCTGACCTGTCTTTTTAACCCACTGCTGTCTATTTGGTTTTGGTAAACCCACAATGCTGTTAAGGATGGAATTATAGCATTTTGATCCAGGGCCACTGAAGGAATGCCAATATAGGAACATAGGAACAAGAGTGGCCCGTATGTGTTAGTACCTTAAACAAAAATTTATTTATTTCAGATTTAAAATTAATTTTGATCCAGCATCCACTACTGTTTATAGAAGAGAGTTCCAAACATCAACCACCGTTTGTGCATAGAAGTGCTTCCTTACATCTCCCCTGAATGGCCTGGCCCTAATTCTCAGACTATACCCTCTAGTTCTTGAATCCCCAGTCAGTGGAACTAGTTTATCTATGTCTACAGTGTCTTTTTCCTGTTAATGTCTGTATGTAGCATCTATTACAATTTTCAACCCTTTGTTGTTCCTCAGTTCCATTCATTTGTCTCTACTGAATGCTTTCCCCTCATTATATCTTCCCTCACCATTGAAGTAACATGTTTCTAATCAGTAAGGCTACTCTATCTCCTCCATCATTTTCCCAATCCACCCTGTAAACTTTATAACGTGGTATATTGAGTTTCCATTCCTGACCATTCTGTCTCAGTAATGGCTACTATAACACAGTCTCAAATATGAACTTGTTCCTGCAGCTCATTGAATTTATTCCTTTATGCTCCATGCATTCATATATAGAACTCTTATTTGGGCCATACATTGTAACCCATTCCAAAGTACTGTGTCTTTATTCACATGTTTATTATTTCTGTCTTCCAGTTTAATCAATACCCCTCTGAGTTTTAACATTACCTGCCATTCTTGAAGTAGGATTTCTGACTGTTTCTTTATTGTGTCATGTTACTTGATTTTGAAACTGGATTGACTTTCCTTGAACCTCTCCCTTATTTGTGAGTTGAAAGTCTTTGTGACCACCCTATTTAGCCTTTCTGCTTGGACATTGGTCCCAGATCAGTTTCACGTAGAGCCCGTCCCAAAGGTATGGTTCCTTCCTGTCCATATACTGATGCCAGGAAATGGAATACCTCTTTCCTGCAACACTCCTTTGCCATGCTTTCACTTCCCTAATTTGCTTTTCTCTATGCCAGTGGTTCTGGTAATAATTCAGAGATTATAACCCTTGAGGTTCAGTTCTTTAATTTTGTTTCTAGTTCCTGATAGACAGGACCTCTTGTCTATGTTGTTGGCCCCAATATGGACCACAACAACTGAATCCTCTCTCCCACTCTTAATATCCATTCAAGCCAGTTCAAGATGTCCCTTGCTTTAGCACAGGCAGGCAACACACCACGCAGGACTCTCAATCCTGCTAACAAAGGAAGCTATCTGTACCCCTAATTATGGAATCCCCTACCATGACCACTTTTCATTTTGCTACCCTCACTTGAATGGACTCCCGAAGCATGATGCAGTGGTCACTTTGCCCATCCTCCCTATTGTCCTTTTCCTTATCCACACTGGGAGTAAGTACCTCATAACTGTTGTACAAGGACAAGAGCTGAGGCTCCTCCAATACTAAATTCAGGATACCTCTACCTGGCTCCCTTGTCGTCATACCCATGTATCCCTGACCATTGGCTGAAATTTTAAGTACTTAAACTCCAAGATGTGATTCTGTACCTCCCTGATGTGTCACAGTGTATGAAACTGAGAGTCCAGCTAATCAACTCTGAGCCAGAGTTCCTCAAGCAACCAACACTTCCGAAAGATGTGATCACTATGAAGCAAATGGGGGTCCACTAGCTCTCACATCATGCAGGCAGAACACAATATCTGGCCCTGCATCTCTAAATTATTAAATTAGTTTTTAATTTGTTTTCTTTAAATTTCCTAGCTGTTTTCAGTTTTTAATCTGTAAAATAGTTCTCCAATTTATCTTTAATCTGAAAGCAACTCGGATTAGGCATACAAAATAGCAGTTACTAACCAAACAATGAATTTACACCTTTTCCTGTGATGTCACTGTTTTTCTCAGTTTCTGATCAGAGTCTCCTGTCCAACTGATTCCTCTTTCCCCTTACGCCCCAAATTCTCTAAGACGTTACTTTGGTGAGTACTTCTGCTGTTTAATGTCAATGAGCGAAAAGGAAAAACTGATCGTCTCCCCCTCGTCCTCTTCCATTTCTACCACCACCACCACCACCACCACCTCTTCTCCACCTCTTCCTCCTCCTTGTTTCATCTCATCCTCCTATTTCATCTCCTTCGGTTGGTTCTTTTCTACCTCCTCCTCATCGTCCTTCTGTTTCTAGTTCTCTACCACCACCTCCTGTTTCACATAACTTCAGTTATACACTAATGCAATAAAGCAGTACCTCCTATAGTTCCAAGTGAAGATGGTGAGTGACTTCGATGAGATGTATTTCCTCCCCTCGTCCTTATAAGGCTGTCTAAGAAGCCTTAGTGAATTTCTGCAGTGCATCTTATAGATGGTATACATTGTTGCTACTGAGTGCCTGCAGTGGAGGGAGTGAATGACTGTGGATTTGGTGCCAGTCCACGAGACTGCTTTGACTTGGATAGTGTCAAGTTTCATGCCTGTATTTGGAGCATGTAGGGAGTATTCCATCACAGTCTTGACTTGTGCCATATGAATGAAAAACAAGCTTGGGAAGTCAGGAGATGAGTTATTGGCTCAAGATTCCTAGCCTCTGACCTGCTCGTTTAGCTACAGTATTTATATGGTTAGTCAAGTTCACTTCTGATCAGTAGTTGCATCCTAGATGTTGCTAATGGGATTCAGTGATGGTAATACCATTCAATGTCAAGGGGCAATGGTTAGATTATCTTTTGTTGGAGAAAGTCATTGTCTGACACTTGTGTAGCGTCACTGTTACTAGCCACATTGGTCCAAGCTCATATTATCCAGGTATAGCTATATTTGGACACAGATTGTTTCTGTATCTGGAGATACATGAATGGTGATGAACATTTGTGCAATCATCAGCAAACACCTCCATTTCTGATCTTATGGAGGGAAGGTCCAAAGTAGCTGGTTAGGCCTAGGACACTACCCTGAGGAACTTCTTTAGAGATATTGTTGGAACAAAGATGACAGATCTCCAACAAGCACAATCATCTTCCCTTATTCCAAGTGTGATTCCACCCAGCGCAGGGTATTCCCCCTGATTCCCATTTGACTCCAGTTTTGCCAGAACTCCTGGATTTTGCTTTCAGTCAGATGCAGCCTTGATGTCAAGGGCAGTCACTTTCACCTCACCTCCTTTCTTGTCGCAACTGTGCGGTTTCAGCCTGCTGCCATCATGGTTGTAAATACCTGTATTCAGAGGTTAGGAGAGTTTCTCAGGAGTTCAAGAATCTGTTCTCCAACACACAACTAGGATTGCTGAGGCACTACCCCTGTGGCAGTGATTCTGTGGAGCACAGACTACCTGACCTCTCTTGGGATGTCAGTGTTTGTCTTCAAATCCTTACCATTCCACTAGTGCCCTTGCTGTTGCTTGTCAGCTGGCCGACCAAGACTACTACTGCCCGTGCCAAGATGTTGAAGTCTAAAGTTGGTTTTCCAGGCTCAGAGCCTTTTGAGACTAGCTTATAAGGCTATTTGCAGCCTTTCTGTACTGAAAGGTAGCTGCCTTGCATCATCCATGCTGCACCCAATGGGAGAAGATTAATCCAGGCAAAAGAGCCACAAGTCAGATACTAATGAAAACCCATATCTGCAATTAGCTCTGAGGTCTGTGGCACTCCACTGGTTGCTGTTTGCCAACCTGGCCATGACCCATTTATCCTAGCTGTCTTATTTTTTCCCTCAATTTCCTCTTAATTCATGCTTTATCCATACCAATTCATCACCCCCAACCTCATGAGCTCTTCTCTTCTGTAGTAACCTTGATGTGGAACGTTATTGTTTTGCCTTTTGGTCTTCCCAATGCACTACATCTACTATTTCCTCTTTATATACCCTGCTATGTCCTTAAAGAACGCTAATAAATTTTTCAAACATTATTTCCTTTTTTAAAAATATCATGTTGACTCTGCATAATTGCATTATGACAGGCACCACAGTGGTTAGCACTGTTGCCTCGCACTGCCAGGGACCCAGGTTCGATTCCACTGTGTGGAATGATACTACCACCTTAATAATGGATTGTAGCATTTTCACAATGGCAGATGTTAGACTAACTGGTCTGTAGTTTCCTCCTTTCGGTCTTCTTTCTTTCTTGAATATATTCTTACGTTTATGGCTATCCAATCCATTGGAATCCACAAAAACACAGCCATTCCAGAATGTAATGAATGTTGGAAGATGACAATCCACTGTCTCTGCAGCCTGTAGTAGCCACCCTGTTCTCCAATCTTAGGATGGAGTTAATCAGTTCAGGGGACATTTCGGCCTTTAGTAGCATTTGATGTGGAGGTGCCAGTGTTGGACGGGGTGGACAATGTCAGAAGTCAGATAACACCAGACTATAATCCAACAGGTTTGTTTGAAATCACAAGGTTTCAGAGCATTGCCCCCTTCGTCAGGTGAAGTGGCTTCACCTGATGAAGGGGCAACGCTCCGAAATCTTGTGATTTCAAATAAACCTGTTATCTCACTTATTTAGTTGCATTTGTTCTTTTAGTTATTTTTCTTAATGTTCATCATTTTTTAAAGTTGTTTAGACTTTACATATCTTTGAACAAGACTGTAATGGTTATTATAATTGTCTCGTGTATCATTAATCACTTAAGAATTCATTTTGTTTTCAGCTATGATGAAGTTGGTACACCTCCATTTTCTCCTGCTCGAGCACGCTGGATTCGAGCTATCAACAAAGTTCGGATACAAATCCAAGAGGTAGTAGTACAGTTTGTGTTACAAAATCTGACTGATCCTGTTTCCAAATATATAAGTCACAGATTTTGATTGTTTCTAGCTCTGTATCAATGACTGTCATCAATTCATTTGACTGTATTGCTGGATGTACATGTTTAGTAATTATAGTGATTTGTGCATAGATTTGAATGTATATATGTAGTGAATATAGGGAATTGGTTACCTCATATTTAATCACAACCAAGGTTCAAACTTGCTACTAAAGATAAAATTGTGGAAATGTATTTTCTTTATACTAGTTTAGCATCATGTGTATTTATAAGTCGCTCATTCATAAGACAGTTTATCAACAATTTGCATAAATTCTTCATAAATACTTCAATGTGAAACAACAAAGATTTAAAATGTAGGAGTGTAGCACTACATTATCACTAGTAGGAAATATACTTACTGTGGAAAGTATTAAGTTACGTGCTTAAAGGTGATGAATCCTCCAGTCATTAATTTCAAGAGCCTGAGCTCATTTTTCAGGTGAAACGTAAATCATATCTTTGGGGGATGTTTGTAAAATTAGTTGTCTTAAAAACACTACTGTAAATAATGGCTTGACACCGAAACCCAAATTTTAAAAGTCACATTGGCATCTAAAAATTGGAAAAACTTCAGATTTTGTTTTTTAGATGTAGTTTGGTATGATTTGTTCTGGAGTATTGTTTTCATTTTGAGTTTTAAATCTAAAATAGTGGTAAGGATAGTTAAAAGCTCATGTATTGTCATTGGTCTGTAATAGAAGTAAAAGACCATTGCAAGATTTGGAGATAACCGAAGTGGAAAAATAACCCAGTGTGACAGGACATTTCAGGAAAAACAGATATTTTCAGTGCCGTTTTGCATTTTCTATTTGTGATGTCAGATAAGCTTATGGAGGTCATAATTGAGCATAATTGATCTTTGAAATGTATGCCATTAAACAAATCTGAAATGGCAGTTTGTGACTATCAAGATTCTATTTAGTTGAGTAGCAAGTGAAAGTCGGAATTGTTTTTGATATAGTTGATGAAGAAATGCTTTTAGTTCTCAATGTCTCAGTGCATATCATAAGTTTACATATGCCATCAATTATTTGTGCTCAAATGAGCCAAATGATAAGACTGAGATTGTATTCCTTATATTTCTACAGAAGTGACATAATGCTGTTAAGCAATATCACAGCAGCATGTACTCGAAGAAGCCTGGCCAGTTTTGTTCCTTAATTTATAAAGTATCACAGACTAAAAATATCTTCACTATATGTTATTTCTTCCTGTACACACACACACAATACGAAGAGTGAAAACAGTAAGTGCCATTTGTTGAATTCTCAGTGTTATCTTGTCACACCAGAAATAAGGTTTTGGAGTAGATCTGTAGCTCGGGTTGTGGGTGTTGAGGTTGGTTGGATCGCCGAGCTGGTTTGTTGTTCCGCAGACGTTTCATTACCGTGCTTGGTAACATCCTCAGTGCAGCCTCTGATGAAACGTCGGTGTGTTTTCCCGCCAGGTTTTTAAACTCTGGGGTCCATTGCGATGGATTGCCTCACTTCCACGTTTCCTCCGTAGTGGAATGTATATGGGGTCGAGTTAACAAACACATTGAACTCGACCCCATATACATTCCACTACAGAGGAAACGTGGAAGTGAGGCAATCCATCGCAATGGACCCCAGAGTTTAAAAACCTGGCGGGAAAACACACCGACGTTTCATCAGAGGCTGCACTGAGGATGTTAGCAAGCACGGTAACGAAACATTTGCGGAACAACAAACCAGCTCGGCGAGCCAACCAACCTCAACACAACAGAAATAGACGGAGGAAATATGGAAGCACAAGACAAGCATGCATAGTTTACAGTATTTCCCAAAGTATAATGATCTAATTTAATAAATATACTAACTTCTGTGTTAGTTTCTTGTTCAGTTAACAGTGGAAGTAGGCAAATGTAAGTTACAATTTATAAACCACCCCTAATGTAGAAAATGTTCAAAGTTGCTTCATAGCGATACAATCAAATAAAAATAATGCCTGTCAAAATCAGGATATGTTGTAAATGGTGATATTGAAATGGTTGAAGACATTGGAAGGCAGGTAAGTTTAAGGAGTGTCTTTCTAAGCATGAGTTTTAGACTGCTGAATGTATGACCACCAGTAGTGTGCTAAAAGGAGGAGAGTGTGCACAAAAGGCCAAAGTCAGAAGTTCATAGTGCTGCATAGAAAGCACTTGCTGTGTATGTTTTAGTATTTTTCTTAACTTAAACTATAAATAATGTATGTAAACAAAATGAAAAACTGCACATTTAATATAATGCTTCAAAATGAAAGTTTAGAGCAGTTCTTTATCAACACTTTCTTTTTCATCCAATATGGCTGTATTTGTATTTCTATTTTGTAGTTCTGTTTCTGTATTCAAAATTTCAGCCTATGTGCTATCCTATAATTGTAACAGAGAAAATAGGCATTTTGTTTAGTTCTTTCTGTCTGTGTCATAATTACATTTTAAGCAGCACAATCAAATTGACTTTGACAGAGGTTAGAAATTGTGGTTTGGTATTCAAAACTCTGTTTTACAAATTTCTGCATACTCATTCCTATACCTGAAGCAGGTCAATCCTGAGAGCTTGTACTGGCCGTTTGTATTTCTGCTAGCACTTGCCCAGCACAGTCAGTGCTTCACTAAAAAGTGTAGTGCTTTGGGCAGGAGGCAAATCTAATGAGAAAAATTGTCACCAGCTCACAATCCGGCATTGTCAAGTTAGAGTCAAAGAGGTTACAGCATGGAAACAGCCCCTTCAGACCAATGTGCCCATGCCATCCAGTTTTCAGAACTTTGGCTCTTTTTCCTGCATTTGGTCCATATCCCTCCATACTTATCCCATTCATGTACCTGTCCAAATGTTTCTTAAATGATACAATTGTACTTGCTTCCACCACTATCTCTGGCAGTCCATTCCAGACACTCACCACCCTCTGTGTGAAAATATTGCCCCTCAGGACCCTTTTGTATCTCTCACCTTTCACCTTAAACCTGTGCCCTGTAAACTCTTCCTAGTTAAATAATATCCTTTCTGTAATAGGGCAACCAGAACTGCGCACAGTGCTCGAAGTGTGGCCTCACCAACGTCTTGTACAACTGCAACAAGATGTAGCAACTTCTATACTCAGTGCTCTGACTGATGAAAGCAAGCATGCCAAAAGCCTTCTTCACCCTGTCTACCTGTGATTCGACTTTCAAGGAACTATGAACCTGTACGCCTAGATCTCTTCCTTTATAATACCCCCAGGACCCTACCATTGACAAAAAAGTCCTCCCTGGTTTGCCTTACCAAAATGCAACACCTTGCACTTAACTAAATGAAACTCATCTACCATTCCTCAGCCCATTGGCCCAGTTGATCAAGATCTCGCTGCATTCCCAGATAACTTTCTTCACTGTCCTCTATACCACCAATCTTGATGTCATCTGCAAACTTTCTAACCATACCTGCTAAATTCTCTTCCAAATCATTTATATAAATTACAAATAACAGTGGACCCCGCACCAATCCCTGTGGCACACCGCTGGTAATAGGACTCCAGTCTAAAAAACAACCCTCTACCACCACCCTCTGACTTCAAACGCCAAGCCAATTTTGTATCCAATTGTCTAGCTCTCCCTGGATCCCATGAGATTTAACTTTACTCAACAACCTACCATGCTGTACCTTATCATAGGCCTTGCTAAAGTCCATGTAGACAGTGTCTACTGCACTGCCCTCATGTACTTTCTTGGCCCCCCCTTCAAAAAACTCAATCCAATTTGTGAGACACGATTTCCCACGCACAAAGCCATGCTGACTATCCCAAATGAATCCTTGCCTCTCCAAATGCCTGTAGATCCTGTCTCTCAGAATTCCCTTTAACAACTTGCCCAGAACAGATGTTAGGCTCACCGGTCTATAGTTACATGGCATTTCCTTGCAGCCTTTCTTAAATGAAGGCACAACATTAGCCACCCTCCGATCTTCAGGCATTTCACCTGTGGCTGTAGATTGTGTAAGTGTCTCCGCAGTTTCTTCCCTAGCCTCCTACCAAGTCCTGGGATACACTTCATCAGGTTTTGGGGATTTATCTACTTTAATGTGTTTTAAGACTTCCAGCACCACCTCTTCTGTAATGTGGGCACTGTGCAAGAGATCACTATTTATTTCCCCAAGTTCCTTATCATCCATATGTTTCTTGACGGTGAATACTGACGAGAAGTATTCATTTAGGATTTCACCCATCTCTTGTGCCTCCACACATAGATGACCTTGTTGATCTTTAAGAGGCCCTATTCTCTCCCTAGTTACTCTTTTGCCATTCATGTACATGTAAAATTTCTTTGGATTGTCCTTTTACCTTATCTGCCAAAGCCATCTCGTGTCCCCTTTCAGCTGTACGGATTTCTCTTTTAAGTGTACTCCGACACCTTCTATACTCATCAAGGAATAAATTTGATCCCAGTTACCTATACATGTCATTTGTCTCCTTCCTTTTCAAGACCAGGGCCTCAATAATTCTAGTCATCCAGGGTTCCCTACTCCTGCCAGCCTTACCCTTCACTCTAACAGGAACTTGCTGGTCCTGAACCCTCATTAACTCACTTTTGAAAGCCTCCCACTTACCAGATGCCCCTTTACCTGCAAACAGCCTTTGCCAAACAACTTCTGAAATTTCCTATCTAAGACCGTCAAAATTGGCCTTCCCCCATATTAAAACTTTAACTTGTAGACTAGATCTATCCTTTTCCACAGCTATTTTAAAACTAGTGGGATTACGGTCACTGGTCCCAAAGTGCTCCCGCACTAATACTTCCGTCACTTTCCCTGCTTTATTTCCCAAGAGGAGGTCAAGTTTTGCCCCTTCTTTAGTAGGGCCGTCTACATACTGATCTACACATCTACATGAGAAATTCTTCCTGAACACACTTAACAAATTTGTCTCCATCCAAGCCCTTAACACTATGGCAGT